GAGCATCATCCCGTGCACTGAAGGGTTGCGGCTTCAGTTCTAGTAAGAGCACATACCTAGGTTTTGTGTTCAATCCCCAGTTGGGGTGTGTGCAGGAGGCAACCAATTGTCTCTTTCTCTCTCTCCCCTTCTTCCTCTCTCTAAAAATGAAAAAAAAAAAAAAATTTTTTTTTAAAGTTCTGGTCCTGGTCAGTTTTCTCAGTGGTTAGAGCGTCAGCCCTTGGACCAATGAGTCTCAGGTTCAACTCTGGTCAAGGACACGTATTTCAGTTGTGGTTCATCCCCGGCCCTGCGGGGTCATGCGGGAGGCAGCCAGTCAATGTGTCCCTCTCGCGTCGATGTTTCTCTCTCTCCCTCCCTCCCACTCTATCTGAAGATAAATAGAAAAATATCCTTGGGTGAAGATTAAAATAAATAAATAAAAATTAAAAAGTTCTGGAAATGGATAGTGCTAATGGTGGAACAATGTACTAAATGCCATGAGATAATACTCTTGAATACGGCTAATTTTATTTTATCTGAATTTCACCTCAATTTAAAAAAAAAAAAAAAATACAGGTGGCTGGCCAGATTTGGTCCATGGACCATAATATGCCAACTCCTAGACCTAATCAATTCTTCAACTTCCCCTCCTCACTTTTCCCTCACTCGAGCACCATCCTCATGCTCACCCCACCCCCACTCTCACCCGAACCCTCAGCCCCAGCCTCACCCCATCCTCCCACTCTCCATCCCACCCTCTTAATCTACCCTAGTCCCATCCCCATTTAGTCATGCCTTGTCATCGTGTCACTTGCCAGCATGGCAGGATCACCCAGGCAATGTCAGCAAGATGCACACCCGGTTTCCTGGAGGGTAGAACACAAGTATGTGATTCTGATCTGTATAAAATTACACTTCATTACATAATGTATTACATTGCATAATAATCACTCTGCTCCTAATCCTGCAATTATATATAATAGTTGCTATGATCATGCATCCTACAATTACACATCATTTTTACCATCCCCACAATGTACAGTAATAAGCGAGAAGGAAGTGGTGGGTAGAAAGCAGCCCAACCCCACCCAACCCCTTTTGGAGCAGAGGCTGCAAAGCTGCTGCCAGGCATGTATTTGGATCCACCAGCCAGAGGCGCCAGTGGAACTTTAGAAGGAAGAAGGAACTGGTGCGATTTTGGTTTTTCCTCCTCTTCATTCTGCCAGCAGCCAGTGTTGGTGGGCATTGAAAAGCAGTTATGGATACTGTTCCTGAGTCACAGATATGGAGTGTGCCCTAAATTGGAGGTTTCAAGGATCCCCTGATGCCCTGTCTTCTATGACTGTGGAGAGACTCAGTTCCCTTGGTGAGCCAGTTCTGCAGTGTCATTCCCAAAGGACCAGCCTGGGCCCTGCTCCTTTGCACCAGAATTTGGCAAACTATGGCCCCTGGGCCACACCTGGCCCGCTGCTTGGTTTTGTTTTGTTTTTTTTAAATCTTCATCTGAGGATATTTTTCTATTTATCAACAGATAGAGTGGGAGAGAGAGAGAGGGAGAGAAAGGGAGAGAGAGAGAAACATCAGTGTGAGAGGGAACATCGACTGGTTGCCCCCCGCATGACCCCGACCAGGGCCAGGGACAAACCACAATCAAGGTACGTGCCCTTGGCCAGAATTGAACCTGAGACTCATTTGTCCGCGGGCCAACGTTCTACCGCTGAGCCAAACCAGCCAGGACTTGTTTTTACAAATGAACTTTTATTTTGTTTTAATGTATTTGTGTGTCTATTTTTTAAAAATATGTATGTTACTTTAAATGGCAAAAGGAACTTTGCATATGGGATTAGATTAAGGATCTTGAGATGATGGGTAGATTATTCTGGATTATTTGAGTGGGTCTTAAATGTAATCAATCACAAGGGGCCTTACAAGGGGAATGAAAGAAGGTCAGATGAAGAAGTAGATGTGATGACGGAAGCAAGAGGTTAGAGCTTCAGGAGGGGGTCATGAGCCAAGGGATGCCAGCAATTCTCAGAAGCTGGAAGAGGCAGGACGGGATTCTCCCCCTAGTTCCTCCCCAAGGAGCCAGCAGCCCTACTGACACCTTGACTATAGTTCAGTGAAACTAATTTCAGACTTCCAGCATTCAGAATAACAAAAGAATAAATGTGTTGTTTTATTTTTATCTTTTTAATCTTTACTCGAGGACATGCTGAGAGAGAGAGAAGAGAGTAGAGAGAGGGAGGGAGGAAAAGAGAGGAAGGGAGGGAGAGGAGAGAGAGATTAGCTGCCTTCTGCACTTTCCCTGAGCAGGGATGGAACCTGCAACCCAGGTAACTGAACCATCAACCCTTCAGTGCACAGGACGATGCTTAACTGAGCCACTCCAGCCGGGCAATGTGTGTTGTTTTAAGTAACCAAGTTTGTGGAAATTTGTTATTGCAGCCATAGCAAACTGAGACAATGAGCAGATGGACCAACTGAAGGTTTTTTTCCATGAACATGAATCACTTTTTTTTCATTTTTATTTTTTATCCTTACCCGAGGATATTTTTACATTAATCTTTAGACAGAGCTGGAGGGAGAGAGAGAGAAACATCGATGCGAGAGAGACACATTGATTGGTTGCCACCCATACAGCCCCAACCGGGCTGGGGACGAACCGCAACCGAGGTACGTGCCCTTGGCCAGAATCGAACCCAAAGCTCTTTGGTCCACAGGCAATGCTCTTACCGCTGAGCCATATCAGCCAGTGCTCACTTTTCAATTAAAATAACATTAAAACACAATATTATATGGAACATTATAAAAGGAACCATGCGGCTCTCCTGGAGGTTACGAGAGAAGAGGAAAGATCTGAATTAGATGATTGGATGCGAGGGCGAGGCATTCAAAATGAAATTCAGATGCCCCGGCACCACCAACAAACTTCTAACCTCTTCGATCTGGAGGCAGAGGCTGAGAATCTATGTTTTTTGGTGTGTTTTTTTTTTTAATCCTCACTAGAGGACTTTTTTTTTTTTTTTTTTTTCGATATTTTGTTCAGATAGAGTGGGAAAGAGAGAGAGAGAGAGAAACATCGACGTGAAAGGGACACATCGAGTGGCTGCCACCCACACGACCCAACCAGGGCTGGGGACAAACTGCAACTGAGGTACGTGCCCTTAGCGGGAACTGAACTTGGGCCTCTCCAGACTGCAGGCCGACACTCTAACCACTGAGCCAAACCGACCAGGGCAGAAGCTATGTTTTAATCAGAGGCATTTTGAAGCAAAAAAAACCCCCCAAAACCCCACCTCATGCTACAAAGAAGACCCTTCTAGAGACTCATGTCCCCAAGAGGCTGAATGGTACTGGGTGCAAAGAATCTCGATCCTGGCACAGTGGACTTTCGGGGCCCAATCATTCCTTGTCACGGGGCTGCTCTGTCCCTGTCGGATGCTTAGCTGCACACTCAGCTGCATCCCTAGCTTCTGTCCACTCAATACCAATAGCACCCACCCCAGGTCATGATCACCAGGAATGTCTCCGGACATCGTCCAATGTCCCTGAGGGGCCAAATCACTCCCAACTGAGATTCACTGGATTAAAATAAGATTGGAAAATATCACATGTGACTGTTAACACACGAGAAGCGACTCCAGTGTCCCATAAGAGGGGACTGGTTACTAAACTCAGATCATCCACAATGGATGAAGGGTGAGGAGTTAATATGAGAAGGAACTATAGTGGCCTCTACTCAAATTCAAAGTGCATATTACTACTAACCCAGCAATTCCAGCTGCTATCAACTTACCCAACTGAAATAAAAACGCCAGCAGCAAAGATGTGTAATATGATACTGTTCACTGTGGGCTGTGATGTTCTCCAACCAGAATGATCCAAAAATTGGTGGTCCACCTCATCACAGAATAATGTTACAACCCAAAAAGAACTGGCAGACATCTTCTTCGATTAGAAGGTCCACATTATGTTAAATGTTAAAAGAAAATTGATCCTAAGTTTATGAAACAAAAATGTGTTGCATGGGGAAAGAAAGCAGGTTGCAGTTTATGTAACATGGTCCTTTTAAACACATGTATAGACATACTCCATGCAAGTGGGTAAGACTAGGTTTTTGTTTTTTACCAAATGTTAGTCGTCTCTGAGGACGTGTGACTTGATTTTGCTTTTTTAGTTTGTTTAGTTGTATGTCCTAATTTTTCCACAAGGATTACACGTAGTCTGTGTACTTTGTAAGTGCCTTGGGTATATGTGTATACACCCTAAGGGCTTAAGAATCTTGAGAAACCTTAAATATTTGACACAGAAAATCCAAATTCCTGAGGTGGGACCACTGAGCACCTGCTGGAGGTTGTTGCCCCGAGGTCCCCAGGTGCCCAGCTGCTCGTTGGCACCCCCTACGGAGCTCCTTCCTTGTCTCATGTCCCCACCCCACTGGGGCTTCCTGTGGTGACTCCTTAGACACCAGATCCTCGTCTTAGGATGTTTTCTGAGAACTCCAAACCATGCAAGTCTCCCTCCGTATTCTGTCACCTGAAACAGTCCTGCAGCTGACCCCACGGGACAGCCTGGCCATCTGTCCCTGGGCTATTTGGGGATGTTTCATGGGACAGGCTGGGCCACAGGGCTCTCGCTGCTCCCTCCACCTCTCGCCAGCACTCGGTTCCATCCCACACCTTGGCCAGCAACGGGGGTGGACACTGGGTGTGGTGTGTTGGCAGTGAGCAGAGCTTTGGATCAAGAGAACACAGCCCTGGCTGGGTGTCTGTTGGTTGGAGCATCGTCCTGTACACTGAAAAGGTTTTGGGCTTGATTCCTGGTCAGGGCACATACCTAGGTGGTGGCTTTGATCCCCAGTCAGGGTGTGTATGGGAGGCAACCCATTGATGTTTCTCACATCGATGTTTTTTTCTCTCCCTTCCTTCCTCTCGCTCTAAAAGTCAATAAACATATCCTCAGGTGAGGTTAATAAAAAAAGAAGAAAACACAGATTTATGTGAAAAACCAATCAGGAACATTTAATAAAAAAATAAGCAAGTTATCCAGGACCCGACCCAGCGAGCAGTAGCCATCCCTAAGAGTAACGCACTGCTGGCCGGCTCTGACATTCATTTCTGGCTGAAGGCACAGCAAGTCCTGAGCCTGGGCTGCAGAACACGCTGCCCAAGCTGCAGGCAGCACCCCAGTGCAGCTGAGCCCACCGAGGGCTTGGACAGAGGAATACCACTGAGCAGGCAGAGACCACACCTGAGATGCAGGCCTAGGAGATCAAGCAAACAGAACCAGGGGTAGGCAGGGGAGACCCAGCCCCCATCCTCATCCCCACCCCCTCCAGGGGGGCTGCATGTGGCCAGCAGAAGCCCCTGGTGAGAGAATAGTCACCTTCCCTCCTGGGCAGCGGTCTGCACATAGCTCAGGTGACGGGGGGACAAATAAGGACTCAAACTGAACCATTCTCTAACCCCACTGGGAGCCCACAAGGTCTGGTACACAGCAGGCACTTAATAAATGCCAAACACATGAAGAAATGAAAGGACTCTTTTTGTTCATCTCTGTGGCCCAGCACACATGTGGTAATCAAATGCTGACTGAACAGTTATACTGTTTTGTACCACTAATGCCTGGTGCACACAGTACGTGGTGCTCTTTAGATGTATTGGGAAGAAACCAATTAAAGAGTGAAAAGCACCATGTTTATTTCCATCCCTAGCACTAAGCTCAACTCCTGGCACACAGTAGGCACTCAATAAAAGCATTGAGTTAATAATTACTTTTGTGTCACAAGTACCAGGCACATAGTAGGTGCCTGATATGTATTTGAATAAATGAAAGTGTCTTGTTTATTATTCCCAGAGCCTGAAAGGGTGCCCAACGTTCAGTAGGCACTCAATAAATACTTAAATTAATTTTAAAAATTAATGTGTATCGCTAGTGCCTGATTCTTGGGGGGATGTCAGTAAATGCTGGCTGACTGACTCATCACTGAGGAAATGGTTATGCCTCATTCACTGCTATCACGCACGAGTCTGGTACATGGTCAATGCTTAAAAAAGGTCAGGCGCACAGGAGATGAATGATGGCTTGTTCCTACCCAATCTCCCAGTGCCAAACACTACTCCTGGCATACAGTAGGCACTCCACTAATGCTGCCTGTGTGCATGTGACTGCTGAGCAAGAGCTGGCTGGCCACCACCCTGCATGGAGAGTCCTCTGCAGCCAGGGCTCGGCAGGCCCGCTGTCCCCAGCAAGCATCTGGAGGCCGCTCTAGCCGCTGCCCCTCAGAGCTCATCCCGGGCAGCGCTGTCCAGTGGGGACTGTAGTACATCCGAGTTTTTGGCCTCTCGGCTCAATGCCTGCTGCTCCCTCATCTTCTGGGATTTGGCACGGTCCCAGTCAGTCTTGACATGCTCGTTGTTCCACACGACCGAGGTCTCCGTGTCGCTCACGTACCCATCGTCCCCTGTGTAGTGTGTGGGGAACACCAGCAGAGGCTCCACGGAGAAAGCGAACAGGTTGCGGGGCGAGAAGTGGGCCTTGTACTCGGTCCTGGAGGAAGGGGAGTGAGAGGCAGCAGTGTCAGGGGAAGGGACAGATTGAGAAGGAACGGGGTGGGGTTCAAATGGAGCCAGAAATGGAGGGAACACAGAATAAATGGGTAGAAAAAAAAGCGCCTTCCTGGGGGTGTGAGAGCTTCCTGCCCACCCCCCTCAGGACAGCTGCACAGTGAGACCCCAGCCCCAGTGCCCGAAGCAACGCCCTCTCACACTGGGTGCTTGTCGAACATGACTGGCAGGAACTCATCAACGGGTAGCATCTTGGAGAGCGGCTGGGCAGCCAGCAGTTTGTGGGCGCCTTGCAGGGAGATCACATAAGCCAGTGTCCAATAGGAGTAGTCAGCCTCCACCAGGTTCCTCACACGGGGCACCGCCTTCTCGGGGTGCTCCACCTGCATCCGCTTCCGGCCCACATAGCTGGGTGCAGAGTTGAGACCCAGTCACCCTCCTTCTGCCCACCAGAGACCACTAACCCAGCAAGGCAGGGATCCAGCGAGCCCATCAGGCCCGGAGGTGGGAGCAGGCTTGGTGTGTTTGGGGCACAACCAGGAGGCCTATGTGGCTGGACTGGCAGGACCACAGGGGTCTGTGGCCCTCAAGGAAGAGGGTAGGTTTTTTCTAAGGGTACTAGGGAGCCATGGAAGGGTCTGGAGCTGGGGAGAATGGAATTTCGGGGACATTTTCTGAGGCTGTGCCAGAGGAAGAGCGGGGCTGAGAGGGAAGTTGCCTGGGTTCAGAGGGCTGTGGGCAGTGGAGTGAGGTGCAAGGAGATGCTAACAGCAGGAATGAAGGGGCGCAGTTACTGTCAGAGCCCTGCACGCTGCAGGAGGGAGGAAGGGAGGGAGGAGGAACCACTCCCCCTATATGAGATCCCAAAGAATTGTTTCAGAAATATGCTGGCCACACCTGGGGCTGGGCTAAGACCCAGGCTCCCTGCTACTCCCCACACTCAGCCAGCTCGGAGCTTCCTGCTAGCTAGCAAGTCCTGACCACATCCACCCAGGCTGCACCCCCAGAGCCTCGGCAGCCTACAGACTTCCTGAGCAAATCTTAGCCACACTGCATCCCCCAGAGCACATCTCAAGTCTCCCACCCCTGTGAACCCCTATCCCCACAGCCAGGTCCCTAAACTTCCAGATCATCCTCTCAAGGTCCTACCCCACAGCCTGAGGCCACGCCCAAGTCCTGGCTGCTCTCAGGACCACCCCTCACACACGCGGCACACACACAGAGTACTCTTTCTGCCACACTTCCAAGAGCTGGCCCAAGCTATTACCCTGCGGATGCCCTCAGGCCTTTTGAGCTCTGGCCCCACCCCAGGCTCCAGCTCCGAGCCACTCCAGACCGCGCCCCTGAGCCCTATCCCCCCCACCACGCCCTCTGGCATGGCCCCACCCCGGGGCCCCACACTCACATGAGGTCCCAGTCCAGATCTTCCCTCTCCACATCCTTCATGAGGTTCATCAGGCGCCTCTTGAAGAAAATCTCGAAGCGCAGGTCATCCTCGAAGACCAGCGATTTCTGCAGTCCCCTGTCCACGATCTGAGGAAGACCAAGGCTGAGCCTAACCCTGAAGCCAGTTCAGCTTAAAGGCTCTGGGGCAGCAGGAGAGAGGCAAACGCACTCCTCCCCACCACTGTCTTGACTAACTTCCCCTCCGGGCCACCACCTCCTCGAACATTCAACAACAGAGCCACCTCGAACATTCAACAACAGAGCCACCTCGGCCTGGCTGCTCCTTCCCACTCCAGAGCCTGGGCCTGTGAGAACACACAGCACCCTCCCCCACACAGTGGCAGGCAGACTCATTCTCATCCTTCAGGTTTCAGCTCCCATGCTACCCACCCAGAAGGCCCTTCCTGACCACCACCCAAAGCTGCCAGCTGAGGACAATTTATATCCCCAGGCCCCTTCTCTAGAGATATCTCACTTATTTCACTCTGATTTATTTCTTTGTAGATTATCATCAGTTCTCCTACTTCCCAGGGCTGTGAGCCCCCTGGAGGGGGCTGGATCTGTTCCAGTCACTACCCTGTCCCCAGTACCCGCACCAGGCCAGGAGCACAGTAGGTGCTTGGCAAATGTTCCCTGAATAAATGAACTTGAGAATCTTCATGACTGCCCCCTGAGGCGATGACTGTCTGTGGGAAAACTGAAGCTCAGGCTGGGAAGCGCCTTCCTGCTCACAGAGCTCGCCTCTCTAAGAGACAGAGCTGGACTTAAACCCAGATGTTCCCTGGCTTCAGGGCCACTTGGATACCACAACCTCTGCCCCATGCCATCCACAATGAATCTCAGAAAAGGAGAGCAACCCAAGTGAGCACTCATCACCCCAATCACCTGGACATCCCCTCAAAAGCACCCTCCCACCCTGCATCTGGACACCACCTCTATCCTCACGCCTGGCAGTCTCAGGTTCAAATCCCAGCCTGGTATCCTTACCTATCACAGCCTCTCTCTCCAAATATGGCTGATAAACCCCAGGGTTAATGAGCTACCTCTGGCATGAGCTCCACACTAATTAATGTCACCATGACTGTTACTTAATAAATGTCAAGGCCAGAGTCCAGGATCTTGGCATTTGAAAGAAGCTGGGTTGAAGAGGCCTCACTTGGCCTCGAACGCAACCTGTTTCAGAAACTGGGCTCACCCCTGTCCCTCCCCAGTCTGTTTCCACATCTGCACAGTGCAGGGGCATTCCCTAAAGAGAGGCTCTGGGTCCTGCTGCAGCTTTAGAATCTGCCTGGGGTGCAGGCAACGCCCGCCCTGAGCTTCTGGAAAGCGGAGGAAGGCCCTGCCCTACCCACCTCGCCTGAGCCTCTCCCCTGCTGGACCCACCTCCTTCCAGATGTTATAGTGGCTGAGGAAGCAACCCAATTCTCCCTTCGTCAGGGGCCGTCCATGGTAGGGGTCCTGGTAGCCAGGCAACATCTGGATGCCCAGGTCCTCCACCTGGCTGGTGTTCATGGCTCTGGAAAGGGGGACGGAAGGGGTCAATGGAAAACCCGTCTGCCTGCCACTCCACCGTTAGTGCCCCCTCCTGCCGAACAGCTGTTTCCCTCTTCAACTACTGGCACCCCTCCTGGACCCGTGGCCAGGCCTGCAGGGGGTGGTCTGCCCAAGTGTGGCTCTGTCAGCTGCTCTACTAGGTCGGACTCACTTCCCCCCACCACGGCCCCTACCAGCATGGTCTACACCCCTCCCCTCAGGGTTGGACTCACTTGCCGTCCACAGCCTCCACCAGCCGGACCTTGATCTCTTGCGCCCACAGTGCCCACAGCATGCGTTCCCGCCGGTCCTGCCTCCGCTTCAGGTTGATCATGAAAACCTGTGGCACAGGGTCTCTGTCGAACTCTCCAGCCTTAAGTCCGCCATCCTCCACCCTCCCTACCCCAGAAGGCTTGGCTCACCTCATCAAAGCCCATCTTGTCTGGCATCTTGGTAGGCACTGAGACAAACCGGGAGGGCTCTGCTGGGGGGTGCTTCACTGTGGGGCAAAAAGAAGCTGAAGGGTTGCTTGGGTTATGAGGTGGGGGACAATCCAGCTTCTCTCCATTGCCTCCTCCCCATTCCCTCCATGGCTCCCTATCACCCTGAGCTCCTCAGCCTGGGGTTGGAGAATCTGCCTGACCTGTTCCTACCCATAACGCTGGTGCTAATCTCTACCCTACCTCCTACTCACTCTGGTTGTTAGCACACCAAACTCACCCATTCCTACCTCAGGACCTTTGCATATGCTGGGCCTTTGCCTGGAACACCCTTCCTTCCTCCTCTCTCTACCCCAATTCTCAGCTAAGATGCCGCACTGAGGAGGTGAGTCTCCCAACCCCCTTAGGTTGAGGTACCTCCTCTAGGCCCCCACAGAACTAGGGCTTCCATGATGAAACCTCCATCTTGCTATCCTAACTTGCTGTCTCCTGGGAGCACCAAGGAATGAATACCAGGTCTGTCCACTCACACTGGATCCCCAGTGCCCAACACAGGGCTCAGCATACAGCAGGCACTCAATAATTGCTCATAGACTGAACCAAGGATTGATGACAATCTGTGTGACCTTGACCTATCTGGACCTCAGATTCCTTATTTATAAAATGGGCTAATAACATTTCAGAGAGTTACTCCTGAAATGATTCCATGAAATCACACTTGTATGGGTTGAATGGTATACTCCCAGAGAAAGTTATGTTGGTGTCCAAACCCCCAGGACCTCAGAATGTGACCTTATTTAGAAATAGGGTTTTTACAGAGGCATTCAAGATAGAATGAGGTCATTAGAGTGGGCCCTAATCACTATGACTGGGATCCTGATAAAACTGGAAAATTTGGCCTGGCCAGGTAGCTCAGTTGGTTGGAGCACTGTCCCATACACCAAAGGGTTGTGGGTTCCATTCCTGGTCAGGGCACATACCTAGGTTGCAGGTTCAGTTCTCGGTCAGGGCATGTATGGGAGGCAAGCAACCAATGTGTCAGTATTTCTCACATCAATGTGAGGATTTTTTCTTTTTATATCCTCACCTAAGGACATTTTTGCATTTATCTTCAGATAGAGCAGGAGGGAGAGAGAGGGGAAGAGAGAGAGAGAGAAACATGGATATGAGAGAGACACATCAACTGGTTGTAACCCACACGGCCCCAACCAGGGCCGGGGACAAACTGCAACCGAGGTACGTGCCCTTAGCAGGAACTGAACCCGGGTCTCTCTGGACCGCGGGCCGACACTCTAACCGCTGAGCCAAACCAGCCAGGGTGCGAGAATTATTTTAATGGAAAATTTGGAGACACACAGACGGAAAACACACAGGGAGAAGATGGTCATCTGACTGACACATCTACAAGCCAAAGTTTGCCCAGAATTTCAGAGTAGGCATGACTGTTCTTTTAACTGCTGTGAGCAGTGCTCAGACCACATCCCTAGGGCGATCCTGGCATATCCTTGATGGTTTCCCACAGAAGGATCGGACCCTCAGGTAGATATGAGCCTGCAGAAGTCCCTGCCTGCTCACCAGGCTGGCCCAGAGAAGCCCGGCTTGATGGGAAGTGTGGTGTCTGCCTCACCAAGAACAAAGACCCCATGTGAGCTCAAGGGATAGACACAGGTCCCTCTGTCTGAAAGAGCCCTGGGCAAGGCCCAGACCTCACCCAGAACCTTCCAGCTCATAACCAGGGTCTCCTCAAAGGCAACCACATCCCAGGGCTCCCTCCCATCCAGAGCCCTTCAGCTTCTGGCCACCCCCCCGCCCCCCATTCCTTGGGAGAACTGAGACCTTGGGCAAGACTTTGTGGTCTTAGGACACTGGCTCAAATCCCAGGTGCCCATTCCCTTCCCTTTCTGAGCCTCTGCTCCACCCCCACGCTGGGGTGTAAATGGCCAGAGCACCTGCCAGTAGGAAGGTGGGATTTGTCACCCTGAGCTTTCTGCAAGTTTGAAATTTCATTGTAAGAAAGAGTTTTGAATACGTGAAAAGTCACATGTACTGCCTAGTCTAGGTACCCGCACACATATGAAGAGAAAATGTGGTTTTCCTTGAACATAAGGAAGGATTTACACAAATATCTGAAAGCCCTGAATCCCCCTTCCATCTGTTCTGTGTATTCAACTTGCCCTCAAGAAAGAAATAGGAAGAGGTTCTCAAGGTGCCTTTCCCCCTCTCCTTTCCCCTCTCCTTCCCCCTCTCATTCCCCCTCTCCTTTCCCTCCACCTTTCCCCCTCTCCTTCCCCCTCTCCTTTCCCCTCTCCTTCCCCCTCACCTTTCCCCCCTCTCCTTTCCCCTCACCTTTCCCTCTCCTTTCCCCCCTATTTTCCCCTCACCTTTCCCTCCTCTCCTTCCCCCTCACCTTTCCCCTCTCCTTCCCCTCCACCTTTCCCCTCTCCTTCCCCCTCACCTTTCCCCTCTCTCCTTTCCCCTCACCTTTCCCTCTCCTTTCCCCCCTATTTTCCCCTCACCTTTCCCTCCTCTCCTTCCCCCTCACCTTTCCCCTCTCCTTCCCCTTCACCTTTCCCCCTCTCCTTCCCCTCACCTTTCCCCCCTCTCCTTTCCCCTCACCTTTCCCTCTCCTTTCCCCCCTATTTTCCCCTCACCTTTCCCTCCTCTCCTTCCCCCTCACCTTTCCCCTCTCCTTCCCCTCCACCTTTCCCCCTCTCCTTTCCCCTCTCCTTCCCCCTCACCTTTCCCCTCTCTCCTTTCCCCTCACCTTTCCCTCTCCTTTCCCCCCTATTTTCCCCTCACCTTTCCCTCCTCTCCTTCCCCCTCTCCTTTCCCCTCTCCTTTCCCTCCACCTTTCCCCTCACCTTTCCCCCCTCCTTTCCCCTCTCCTTTCCCTCCACCTTTCCCCTCTCCTTCCCCCTCACCTTTCCCTCTCCTTTCCCCCCTATTTTCCCCTCACCTTTCCCTCCTCTCCTTCCCCCTCACCTTTCCCCTCTCCTTCCCCTCCACCTTTCCCCCTCTCCTTCCCCCTCTCCTTTCCCCTCTCCTTCCCCTCCACCTTTCCCCCTCTCCTTCCCCCTCTCCTTTCCCCTCTCCTTCCCCTCCACCTTTCCCCCTCTCCTTCCCCCTCTCCTTCCCCTCCACCTTTCCCCTCTCCTTCCCCCTCTCCTTTCCCCTCTCCTTTCCCTCCACCTTTCTCCCTCTCCTTCCCCCTCTCCTTTCCCCTCTCCTTCCCCTCCACCTTTCCCCCTCTCCTTCCCCCTCTCCTTTCCCCTCTCCTTCCCCTCCACCTTTCCCCCTCTCCTTCCCCCTCTCCTTTCCCCTCTCCTTTCCCTCCACCTTTCCCCTCTCCTTCCCCCTCACCTTTCCCTCACCTTTCCCCTCTCCTTCCCCTCCACCTTTCCCCTCTCCTTCCCCCTCACCTTTCCCTCACCTTTCCCCTCTCCTTCCCCTCCACCTTTCCCCTCTCCTTCCCCTCTCCTTCCCCTCCACCTTTCCCCTCTCCTTCCCCCTCACCTTTCCCCCTCTCCTTTCCCCCTCATCCTTTCCCCCTCTCTTCCCCTCCACCTTCCCCCGTCTCCTTCCCCCTCTCCTTTCCCCTCTCCTTTCCCTCCACCTTCCCCCTCCTTCCTTCCCCCTCTCCTTTCCCCCTCTCCTTCCCTCCACCTTTCCCCCTCCTTCCCTCTCCTTCCCCTCTCCTTCCCCCTCACCTTTCCCCTCTCCTTCCCCTCCACCTTTCCCCTCTCCTTCCCCTCCACCTTTCCCCCTCTCCTTCCCCCCCTTTCCCCTCTCCTTTCCCTCCACCTTTCCCCTCTCCTTCCCCCTCACCTTTCCCCTCTCCTTCCCCCCTCACCTTTCCCCCCTCACCTTTCCCCTCACCTTTCCCCCTCCACCTTTCCCCCTCTCCTTTCCCCTCTCCTTTCCCTCCACCTTTCCCCCTCTCCTTCCCCCTCTCCTTCCCCCTCTCCTTTCCCCTCTCCTTTCCCCCTCTCCTTTCCCCCTCTCCTTCCCCCTCACCTTTCCCCCTCTCCTTCCCCCTCACCTTTCCCCCCTCTCCTTCCCCCTCACCTTTCCCCCCTCTCCTTTCCCCTCTCCTTCCCCTCCACCTTTCTCCCTCTCCTTCCCCCTCACCTTTCCCCTCTCCTTCCCCTCCACCTTTCCCCTCTCCTTCCCCTTCACCTTTCCCCCTCTCCTTCCCCCTCACCTTTCCCCCCCCTCTCCTTCCCCTTCACCTTTCCCCTTCTCCTTCCCCTTCACCTTTCCCCCTCTCTTTCCCCTTCACCTTCCCCCCCCCTCTCCTTTACCTCTCTCCTTTCCCCCTCTCCTTCCCCTCTACTTTTCCCCCTCCTTCCCCTCCACCTTTCCCCTTCTCCTTCCCCTACACCTTTCCCTCTCTCCTTCCCCCTCACCTTTCCCCCTCTCCTTCCCCTCCACCTTTCCCCCTCTCCTTCCCCTCCACCTTTCCCCCTCTCCTTCCCCTCCACCTTTCCCCCTCTCCTTCCCCTCCACCTTTCCCTCTCTCCTTCCCCCCTCTCCTTTCCCCCTCTCCTTCCCCTCCACCTTTCCCCCTCTCCTTCCCCTCCACCTTTCCCCCTCTCCTTTCCCCTTCTCCTTCCCCTCCACCTTTCCCCTTCTCCTTCCCCTCCACCTTTCCCCTTCTCCTTCCCCTCCACCTTTCCCCCTCTCCTTGCCCTCCACCTTTCCCCCTCTCCTTGCCCTCCACCTTTCCCCCTCTCCTTCCCCCTCTCCTTCCTTCCCCTTTACACTCCTCTTTTCCCCAGGCACATTGCCTTTGCCTTTATTTCTCCTAAGCTCCAAGTTCCCTTCTTTTGCCTCTATAACTTGTTTCCTGAGCCCACGAAACCCAGCTGACTCACCTCTTTCTACCTAAAAGCAATACATAAAAATAAATAAATAAAAAAGAAAGAAAGAAATAGGAAGATATTCCTTTCTCTGTCATGGGCAAGTTTATAACAGCAGTGTTAATGATTTTTGACCAGACACAGTAACAGAAATACATGTGAAAATTTAAATTAGGAAAATTATGGCAGCCACAGGGACGCTTCTCAGGGTCTAGTTGTAGATGGGAATTGGTGACAAGCAGAGACCTACCTCTCATGACAGTGGCCCGGTGGGGTTCTTGGCCTAGGCCTGAGAATCTGCACGTGACAAACACTTGGGTACTGTGGGTCTCCAACCTGGTGACCTTGCAGCCTCCATATGTCACCTCAAAAGACCAAAGTCCCCCCCACCCCCCACACAGGGGAGTGTGCTATTCCACACACACACACACACACACACACACACACACACACTGAGAACCTTCCAGAAGCAGGTAAGAGTTGGGCAACTGAGACCAATAGCAGGAGCCTGGACCCTCTGGACCCTCCCCATCCGTGCAGTGGGGTGAATGGTTGTGCTGCCTCCCAGGCCTTCTCTGAGACGTGTGTGACAGTGAAAGGCAAAGCCTCAATGAAGCAGACCATGGACCATTGTCCTCTTGCTCTGGACGCATCCCTCTCCAGGAGGCCCACCTCAAGCCATCTTGATGGCGGCTGGGCCCTGTGTGCTCATCCCATCCCAGGGGCCCACCAGAGGCCTGACTGCTAGTTTAATAATTTATGGATTTATTTGTTTACCTATTAGAAAGAAATGAGCTTGCAACTATGGTAAAAATATGTAATTTGCTTTTTAAAATAAATGTATTCAAGTAAAACAAAAGTGTACACATAAGATAAATTTTTTTTTTAATCCTCATCTGAGGACATTTTTTCATTTTTTGTACGGACAGAGTGGGAGGGAGAAAGAGGAAGAGAGAGAGAGAGGGAAACATCGATGTGAAAGGGACACATTGAGTGGCTGCCACCCGCACGACCAACCAGGGCCGGGGACAAACTGCAACCGAGGTACATGCCCTTAGCGGGAACCGAACCTGGGTCTCTCCGCACCGCAGGCTGACGCTCTAACCGCTGAGCCAAACCGGCCAGGGCTGTATTAAATAAATACTAGGTCTGAGGTTTGGAAATGGCCCAAAAAAGCTGTGGCCTAGACACTCCCATGCTGTCCTCCCTGCTCCCATACCCTCCATGGCTCCTGACTGCCCTGGGGAAAACACCAGTGTCTTAGGCCACTGCCCTCGTCCTGCCAGCTCCACCCAGCTCACCAGCCCCACTTCAGCCGCTGACCTTGCCTGCTCCCTGAGCTCATTTCCCCTCCAGCCTCCCAGTCTCTGCATATAATGCTCCCTCTGGCTGCAATCCCCTCTGGCTAACTCCTACTCAGCCTGCATCTTAAGGCCCCCTCCTCCAGGAAGCCCACCCTAAACATCACACTTTGCTGCTACAAACCATTGCTCCCTGAGAGCAGGGACAACTGTTCACCTTGTTCATGCCAAGTTCCCAGTGCCCAGTAAAGGCACAACACCCAGCAGGTGCTCAATCAGTGTTCAGAAGAAGGATGTGAGATGGGAGAGAAAGGGCGGGGTGGGTGGACTCACCCATAACCTCCAGCTGCACGTGTGTGAAGCTCTCAGCCTCATCCTGGAGGGTACTATGTGACCGCAGCGGCACTGGCAGAAAGCCATACACCTCCTTGTTGCACACATACATCTGGACCTCTGGGGCCAAGGAAACAACAATTAACATGGAAAACTGTGAAAACAGCAACAAGGTGGCAGTAGCCACCTCTAACCACAGCATCAGCCTCACAGCCCAGCATGGGGCTAGAAAGTAAAGGAGTGCAGCCTGCTGTTCCCAGCAACCAGCAGAAACCCCTCAGATCTCCATCTAGGACTTGGAGCCAGAACAGGGGTTCCCGCTGGCAGGCGAGAACTGTTAACAAGCCCTTGCACCACCCCTGACAATCCCTACAGGATTCCATGACAAAGCAAACTGCAAAACAACAGGGGAACAGTAAGATGCACATTTTGCCTGGCCCGACTGGCTCAGCTGGTTGAGTATCATCCTGTTCACGGAAAGGTCGCCAGTTCAATTCCCCAGTCAGGGCACCTACCCAGGTTGTGGGTTTGATCCGTGGTCAGGGCACATACTGAAGGCAACTGATCGGTATTTCTCTCTCACATCGATGTTTCTCTCTCTCTAAGTATATGTCCTCGGGTGAGAATGAAGAAAAAAAAAAAGATGCACATTTCTGCATAAAAAGGGGATGCAGTTGGATAAAATGTTAGCAACGTTACCTCCATCTGCATTTGTACTTTCTGGATGGCTTAAATTTTTATACTGATGTGTAAATATTTTTTTTGTTTTTTATTTATTTATTTATTTTTAGAGAGAGGAAGGGAGAGAGTGATAGAAACATGAATGTGAGAAACATCCATCGGCTGCCTCCTGCATGCCCCCTACTGGGGATCAAGCCAGCAACCCAGGCATGTGCCCTGACTGGAAATCGAACCAGCGACCTCTCAGTCCATGGGACAACACTCAATACACTGAGCCACACCAGCCTGGCAAGAGTGTATATTTTTTTAAAAGTTAATAACTCAGTCCTAGCTGGTGTGGCTCAGCGATTAGAGCGTCGGCCCACAGACCAAAGACTCTCGGGTTCCATTGCAGTCAACGGTACGTACCTCAGTTGCGGTTCATCCCTGACCCTGGTTGGGATCGTGTGGGAGGCACCCAGTTGATGTGTCCCTCTCATGTCGATGTTTCTCTCTCTCTCCCTCCCTCCTACTCTAACTGAAGATAAACAGAAAAATATCCTTGGGTGAGGATTAAAAAAAAATTTTTTTTAATTTTTAAGTTATTAACTCAATGAAAATAATTTTCATTTTAACTGGCTTTTTCCAGAACAAGCCAGATGGTATAAATATTTTAGGCTACTGGCCTGGCAGTTTCTATCTCAACAACTCATGTCTGCCCTTGGAACATGAAAGCAGCCACAGACAACACTTTAAATGGGTGTGGCAGCATGCCATTGAAACTTTCTTTACAGGCACTGAATTTTGAATTTCATATAATTTTCAGGTATCACAAAATATTATTCTTCTTTTCATTTTTTTCTAACCATTTAAAAATATATAAACCATTCTTAGCTTGTAGCCACACAGAAACAGATGATGAGCCAGATTTGGCCAGCTGGCTAGTTTGCCAACCCCTGATTTAAAGTAAATGACAGGTTAGCATATGGCTGTGTTCTCTTTCTCTAAACATTTTTTTCACTAATTATACAATTAGGAAACAATATGTTCAACCACGTAAGAAAATACTGAGTTGCAAATAACCTTCAATAAATAGGTCCTAAAAATCTGGGAGGTAAAGACACTCAGCAAAGCCAGGGCTGGAGAAAGAATGGGTCCTGGGGCCATCATCTGAACACCTGGATATATCCCCACCTGAAGCTACCCCTGCACCCTGCGATTTTGGTTCTGTGGGCTGTTTGGACTTGTTCAGCACAGATTCCAGGGAACCGGACAGATGATGCCGCTGTGACAGCAAACTCCCGAGGGCTCACCTGCCTGCTTGCAAGAGAAGGCAAAAACAATGATGTCATCGAAGGACCAGGTATAGTCAGTGTGTGGAGGGTAGAATGCCAAGTTCCTGGATGCGGCCTTCCGCAAGTCGATCAGGAAAGTTGAGTGTACCATGGGAACTGCAAAACAGCCCCGGCGGTCCCGCTTTCGAATGGGGATGTAGGCAGGTGTGCGCTTGTAGTAGCCCTGTGGGAAAGGGGCAGAGCTCTGCATGGGGGTCCCCCAAGGTGAGGCTTTAGACCCAGGACAATGAGAGACAAGGAACACCTGGAGAGCAAGACCCAGGTGCCAACTCCTGGCAATGGTGGGCAATCCCTGAGCACAGTGTCAGTCTCCACCCCAGGGCTTCAGCTAATGGGACAATGGCAGATAAAAGAGAAACAGCTGTCTACTTGCAGGCCTGGCCCCATACTTCAGATCAGAAATGCAGTACTTGAAGGAGAAAATGAAAAAGATGAAAAAGGTTTTAACATTAAACTGGCCTACAATGAAAAAAAAAAAACTCAGTAACATCCAATGTTGTAGAATGCTAACTGCCAGTCGTTGGGAATTAATATTGCAAGTGTTATTAAAATTATGACTATGACTTGTGCCGCAGGAAAACCACTTTGAGATTTATCCCACAGAATTAAAATCTGTACATTCAGCACTGGTTTTAGTGGTCTAAACCTAGTATAATGCCTATGGACGGAAGAACTATGAAATGTTATGTGACTATTTTAAAAAATGTGTTTGAGCCCTGGCCAGTTTGGCTCAGCAGTTAGAACATCGGCCCACAGACCAGAGAGACCCCAGTTCCGTTCCCACGAAGGGCACTTACCCAGGTTGCAGTTTGTCCCCAGACCCCGGTTGGGGTCATGTGGGTGGCAACCACTCTGTGTCTCTCTCACATCGATGTTTCTCCCTCTCTCCCTCCCATTCTATCTGAAGATAAATGCAAAAATGTGCTTGGGTGAGGATTAAAAAAAATGTGTTTGAGCTATGTCTGTCGTTCTGATGGGATAAACATGTGTCTCGTTCAATGGGTTTTTATATGAAATAAATCCTGCATGTGTTTATATGTTTCTGGGGACATAAATAAAGGTGTGGAAAGACATTATTTTTTAAGTTGAAAAGGGACTGGACATTTGACATCCTCTGATTTACACAGAAATTGAACATTAATTCAATTTAGAAGAGAAGTTTTAAAAGCTTCTGGAACAATTCTGAGTTGGTCTCTCTTCCTCAAACCCTTTACAAATTAGAATTGTTGGCATATATTTAGATTTCTATGACACATTTTTAAAGATAGGAACCAGTGAATTATTCACTTTAAAATGGTGAGTTTTATTTTTTTTTGAATTGCATGTCAGCTATAACAAAAAGACAGGAGACAGGATAGGTCAACCTACCGGCTCCAGCCACCCAGCCCTCCCCCCTGGCATAGGCCCACTCCTGCACTCACCTCTTAACCCCCTACCCCCGCCCCATGGCTGCCTGCAACCGCAGCCTCAACCCTCGGGTAGAATGTGTGGCACAGGCCTGGCCAACCAGAGGCCGGCATGTTCTTGGCTTCAGTAATTGGTTCAGAGGTAAGATGGGAGACTGGACAAGGCCCAATCAGAGAGGACTTCAGATGGATGTTGCTGGGATCACTACCCAGGAGTCTGAAAATGAAGCCACCCAAGCGATGGAAGAAGACAGGAATGCTGTTGGAACATCTGAATCAAGCTGTGCCTGAAGTCCCATCCTGGCACCACCACATCCTAGCTGTGTGAGTTTAGGCAAGTCACTTCCTCTCTCTGCTTCTGTTTCTGCCTCAGGACTGGGAAGAGGTGGGGAAAGGACACAATGATGGACCCTGCCTCAGGGGCTGTTTAAGGATTATCATGATGGTGCTGTGATAAGCTAGCTGTGGTGTGGTGTGAGAGTAAGTTAGGCCCCCACTTGCTTAGCCCTGCCCTCAACCCCCCCCCCCCCCCCGCCAGGTGCCCTGTGCCACCCAAACAGCCCTCTGACCTGAGAAGTCATCCCACACCAGAAATTGGAGTACGCAGCTCGGGAATCCAGCATGGGCGCCACCACCGTCTTGTTCTCAGCGATGAGAAGTGTCAGCGTGTCAGGGTTAAGGATCAGGTTGTCTGCGTCCACAAACTACAAAACACCCAACATCAGTGTTGGCCGCCGGAGTAACCTGGGCTGGGCCACGGCTCATAATGATTGGACAGAGGCAGAGTACTGGGGGTCTGAGGAACCTGGAGTAGCATGTGTGACCCTGGAAGCCACCCAGTACCTCAACCCACAACTCTACCCTGAGTAACAAACCAAGTTACACTCAGACAATGAAACAGGCTACTAAGGAAGGGGCAGGAACAGACCACATAGCACACAAAAACACAAATGGGTCAGACATGATGCTGTCGAGATATCAGACATGACAGTGGGCGTGCCATGTGCCTCCATTAATGGGAACTTTTATAATAGGAAGAGCTGGTAAATGAGGAGGACAGTTGGGGCAGAGACCAGCTCTTTGAGGAACACTTTTCTTTGTGAGTTAGATGCCAAAAAAAGGTTAATAGAAATAGAAACTTTATTTTTCTTTTTTTTCTTTTTTTTTTATCCTCACCTGAGGACATTTTTCCATTTTTTGTTCAGATAGAGTGGGAGGGAGAGAGAGAGAGAGAGAGAGAGAAACATCGACGTGAAAGGGACACGTCGAGTGGCTGCCACCCGCACGACCCAACCAGGGCCGGGGACAAACTGCAACCGAGGTACGTGCCCTTAGCGGGAACCGAACCCGAGTCTCTCGACCGCAGGCCGACGCTCTAACCGCTGAGCCAAATCGGCCAGGGCGGAACTTTAATTTTCTTTAATACCTTGAATGTTTGGGTAAAAAGATGGTAACTTGTTTGTTGCAAAGAAAAAAGCTTGAGCCTGGCCAGTGTGACTCAGTGGACTGAGCAATGTCCCATGGACTGAGAGGTCTCGGTTTGATTCCCAGTAGGAGGCGTGCAGGAGGCAGCCAATCAATGTTTCTCTCTCACACTGGTATTTCTCTCTCTTTTCCTCTTCCTCTCTAAAAAAAATCAATAAAAACATATTAAAAAAAAAAAAAGGCTTGGAATTAAATTCACCAAACCATGAACAGGATCACCATGATGGGGGAGGGGTGCCTGCTGCTCCCCCCAAAGCCATGTATTACCAACACCTTCCAGAAAGGCCACACCAGGATGGTTGTTGTTTGTCACATGAACTGTGAATGACCCAGGAGTCTAGTGGCATTTGGGTTTTTTGTTGTTTGTTTGGCTTTTTTTCTTTATTGATATTACAGAGAGAGAGGAAGGGAGAGGGAGAGAGAAATAAAAACATCTATGAGAGCCCTGACCGGTTTTGCTCAGCGGTTAGAGCGTCAGCCTGCGGTCCAGAGAGACCCGGGTTCGGTTCCCGATAAGGGCACGTACCTCGGTTGCAGTTTGTCCCCGGCCCTGGTTGGGTTGTGCGGCCCTGGTTGGGTTGTGCGGGTGGCAACCATTCTATGTGTTCCTTTCACGTCGATGTTTCTTTCTCTCTCTCTCTTCCTCTCTTTCCCTCCCACTCTATCTGAACAAAAAACAAAAAAAACGTCCTCAGGCGAGGATATATATATATATATATATATATATATATATATATATATATATGAGAGAGAGAACAGCGATTGGCCGCCTCCTGCACGCCCCCCACTGGGGACTGGGGCCACAACTCGGGCATGTGCCCTGACCAGGAATCAAACCAACAACCTCTTGGTGCATGGGTTGACACTCAACCACTGAGTCACACTGCCCAGGCTCCAGTGGCATTTGAAGGAAGACTTCAACAAATCAGTAAGAGAAATTCTTGCCATCACATCACAATTGAAAATAAAGCCACAAAAAACAATTATGTAAGGATGTTTCTGTCTATTGGGATAGGAAAACATGCAGATCATGGTACATTACAGAACTATTAGGAGGTGAGTTTTGAAAAAATGCATCTGGTCCACAGATATGCTTTCTGTTACCCATGCAGGATATTTAGAGCATTTGAATCACTTGAGGTAAACAACAAAAACTAGAATTCCAGACTTCTCTGGCACTATGGGAACAGCACACTGCATGGGAATCCTCAGCTGGAGACAGGAGGTGGCTGCCCCCGGGACAAGCTGTAAGTTGTGTTATGTTCCCCACCCAGCCCCTTGAGGACATTTAAATTTGTGACCTCTGAATATATGTGCAGTAAAAACAGCCAGAACAGACTGGAAGGTCCTCAAAAAGTTAAAAACACCAAGTTATCATGTGACCCAGCAATTCCACTCCTGAGGATAGATCAAGAGAACTGGAAACAGGGACTCAAACAGATACATGAACACCTATGTCCAAAGCAGCACCACTCACAATTGCCAAAAAGCAGAAACCTAAGTGTCCAACAACACGTGAGTGGATAAACGAAATATGGGCCATCCACATAGTGGAATATTACTCAGCCATGAAAAGGAGTGAAGCACCGACACACGCTACAACGTGGATGAGCCTTGACAACATCAAGCTTCGTGAAAGAAGCCAGACACAAAAGGCCATGTATTGTCTTATTCCATTTATACAAAATGTCTAGAACAGGCAAATCCAGAGACAGAAAGCAGATCAGAGGTTGTTGGGGGTGGGGAGGATGAATGAGTAGTGAATGCTTTTGGGATGATGGAATGTTCTGGAACTAAACAGAGATGACAGTTGTACAAAACTGTGAATGTGTCAAAAAAACCCAAAACAAAAACCACTGAATTGAACACTTTAAAAGGTTAATTTTGCCAGGCCAGTGTGGCTCAGTGGATTAAGGGTCATCCCATTGACTGAAATGTCCGATTGGAGTCCCAGTCAGGGCACATGCCTGGGTTGTGAGCTCAATCGCCCAGTAGGGGGCGTGCAGGAGGCAGCCAATTGATGTATGTCTCTCACTTCAATGTTTCTCTCTCTCCCTCTCTCTCTAAAAAATCATTTAGACCTATTTTTTTAAAACGGTTAATTTTGCCCTGGCTGGTTTAGCTCTGTGGTTAGAGCGTCGGCCAGCAGACCAGAGAGTCCCAGGTTCAATTCCCACTAAGGGCACATACCTCGGTTGCGGTTTGTCCCCGGCCCAGTTGGGGTCGTGTGGGTGGCAACCATTAGATGCGTCTCTCTCACATCAATGTTTCTCTCTGTCTTTTACTCCCTCTCTCCCTCCTGCTCTATCTAAAGATAAATGCAAAAATGTCCTTGGGTGAGGATAAAAAAAATTAATTTTTTTTTAAAAAAGGTGAATTTTGTTATGTAAATTACACCTCAATTAAAAAACATACCAAAAAGGCCAGAAAGTGAGTCTCTCTGAGAGGTAAGATTACAGGGTTAGTTTGTTTTTTTCTTTCCTAAAATCCTTATTTTTTTTCTTGTATATTTTATTACAAGTAACACCCATAGTGTTTGTTAAGAGAGAAAAAATGGCTTGCAAATTGAACTTCCGGTCAAGATGGTGATATAGGTAAACCCAGTATCACCTCCTCCCACAACTACATCAAAATTACAACTAAACTACATAACAATTATCATTCAGAACTGCCTGAAATTGAGCTGAATGGAAGTCCTACAACAATATTAAAGAAGCAACCACATCAAGACTGGTAGGAGGGGTGGAGTCTTAGACCCACATGTGGCAGATAAAATCAAGAGATAAAATCAGCTGCAAAGGTCCTCCCTGAGGAGTAAGGGGTCCCCATCTCACACCAGGTCGCCAGCTCAGGGTTCCAGTGCCAGGAAGAGAAGTCCCCATAACTTCTGGCTGTAAAAACCAGCAGAAACTGAGGCTGAGGGAGGCTGCGGCTGCTGGAGCCCCAGACAGTTCCTTTTAAGGGCCCACACTGGTCACTGAGAACTACTCGCACCCTCCAGGCTTCAGCACATGGAAGGTAACTCGAAAGGCACCAGAGACATACAGGGAAGAACTGAGTAGTTTAGCATCAGGGTGAGAGCTGGAGAGGCAGCTTTCTCTTGGACAGATGTGCTGGCGGAAGCCATTGCTCCTTTGGTGAGCCCTTCCCTGAGGCAGGCAGACAGGCACCACATCTGGGCCTCCAGCAACCTGCCTTACACTGTTTGCCCCGCCCTGGCGATTCCCTAAGGCCTGGCCCTCCCAACTTCCAGGCCCACCCAAGCTGTTTCCAGTGGCTTTACCATAGCATTGGCCTGTTTGGGCTCCTGCTTCAGATTTTCCTAAATTCTCTCAAAAAGTAGCATTTGGCCTCAGCAAGCCCCATACCTCTCACTAAGTGGCCCCAGGCCCAGCACTAGGAGCAGCCATTGGCAGGTCACTTTGTAGATTATGCCTGGTGGCCCCAGATAGAACACAGACAGTGGCTGACCTTGCCCCAGAGCCAGCACACCCAGTGGACAGCTTCAGACTACCTCTAAGAACCACCATCCAACCACCTCCACAAGTGACACACTCAAGGAATGGACTCGGGGGGTACCACAGCACTGCTGAAGTAAGTCTTGCTCTGTGTGTTGGGCCCCTGCACAGCTGATCATCCAAGGTAATCAGAGGTCGGCAGTCAGTGGTCACAGCCAGTCCTTGCACCTGATCAGCCTGAGAAAAACCCTCCCACTGACATGCCAACAGCAATCAAGACTCAATTACAACAGAAGGGTGTGAAGTCCACACGAGGGGTGCACCTCAAGGGCCCAGTGGGTGACCAGGGGGGCTGTGCCACTGGACCCTAAGGACACCTACTACAACAGACCACCCTAGGAAGCCTAGGAGACATAGCAACTCTACCTAATACATAGAAACAAACACAGGGAGGCAGCCAAAATGAGGAGACAAAGAAACATGTCCCAAATGAAAGAACAGAACAAAACTCCAGGAAAAGCACTAAATGAAATGGAGATAAGCAATCTAACAGGTGCAGAGTTCAAAACACTGCTTATAAGGATGCTCAATGAACTTAGTGAGGGCCTCAAGAGCATAAAAAAGGATCAGTCAGAAATGAAGGAGGCACTAACTGAAATAAAGAATAATTTACACAGATTCGATAGTAGAGTAGGTAAAGGCAAGAAGCAAACCATCAATTTGGAATGTAAGGAAGCAAAAAACACCCAATCAGAACAGCA